TTTCCTGAACCACGGGGACCTACGATGCTAGTTGTGCTCTCAGTTCTGCGGCGTCAGCGAAGATAGGCATCAGTGCACTCACAACACTACGGTGTCGGTCGGTAAAATGACGGTCGTCTTTTTGAACCCGGGAAGGCTATCTAACAGGCGCATCTAGCGAACGGCAGCTGAGGATTTCGCATGAATTGCAAGGTCGGATGGCAAAGGGAGACTGGGTGGTACTTGAATGGTGTGACCTCGCCCACAGGTAACACAGGGTAACAATTGCGGCAGCCTCATGCCGATGACGGGAGTTGAATAAGGGCCTAAGGCATCTCCCTTGAATGGTGTGACCTCGCCCACAGGTAACACAGGGTAACAATTGCGGCAGTCTCATGCCGATGACGGGAGTTGGATAAGGGCCTAAGGCATTTCCTGACAATGCTGATGAGAAAACAATCCTGAACTTTCTAGCGGGTACTGCTGTTTCTAGAAGTGAGATATGGATGGATGCCAAGCCTGACATGCATCCAGTATACAGAACTGATAAACTGAACCCAAAAAGGGAAATTCTTCCAACGCGAGTTTCGCGGGTGCAGAGACCTTCAAGATCTGCAAGCAACTTGTGATCCAACTCAAGTTATCAGCATGACGTTGCCACAAATGTTACCCTGTGTTACCTGTGGGCGAGGTCACACCATTCAAGGGAGATGCCTTAGGCCCTTATTCAACTCCCGTCATCGGCATGAGGCTGCCGCAATTGTTACCCTGTGTTACCTGTGGGCGAGGTCACACCATTCAAGTACCACCCAGTCTCCCTTTGCCATCCGACCTTGCAATTCATGCGAAATCCTCAGCTGCCGTTCGCTAGATGCGCCTGTTAGATAGCCTTCCCGGGTTCAAAAAGACGACCGTCATTTTACCGACCGACACCGTAGTGTTGTGAGTGCACTGATGCCTATCTTCGCTGACGCCGCAGAACTGAGAGCACAACTAGCATCGTAGGTCCCCGTGGTTCAGGAAAGAGTCTGGTAGAATCCACATATATCCTGTTCAATCCCATCGCTTACTGTGCTTTCGTTTGTGTTCCACCAGTTTATGAAAACCCTTCTGCAACATGAAAACGTTCGTGTTCGAGCCAGCAATAGCCGGAATCCCGACGCCACAGATGTTCATGCAGAACGGTGCCGTTTCGATGGAAAGAAAAGTGACGTTGTTATCGTAAGGACGCCATCTTTTTACACCGAAGGTTCAGATGGGGAGGAGACATTGAAAAAGTGGATAGATTCAAAGTGAGACATAAACATGCCCCTACACTCACCATGCAGTGAATAACCTATCTGGTTAGCTATACTAAACCGTGCAAAGCGGTTGGAGTGTTGTACATGCATGACCTTGCATTCAGTGCAGGCGACGCAAATATGGAGGTCTCGAAACATCTTGGTGCTTTCCGGCACACATGCCGTCGAAATCTCATTCCAAGCGTCATTCGCGCCGTCCCAACTTTGTCCCACGTCGCACAGTTGTCTAACGAGAGGATCGAAGCATCAGTGACCGAATTTCGACGTCAAGCAAATGATGAAGGTGTACAGTTTTGTAGCACCTTGCCTGACGGAAATCCCTTTGATAGAAAGCCCGAGACGGCGTGGGGCATCGTCCAGGAACTCTTGGCATCCTGCGATAATGGAAACGTCGGAGTTCCTAGAAACAACCTCGCGAGCTCCGTTGGGAAGGCAGAGGTCAAGGATGATATAGCTGGAACTCGGGTACATCACTCCTAATTGCATTCGATCTTTCTAGGGAATAACTTTTGTTTCCATTCGTACATAGGCAAAAGAGCCCATCTTCCTTCCGATGGGACCTACCCTGAAAGCTACTCCCCCGCAGCTCCCAAGTAGTCGCCTAGCTGTTGAAAATTCTGCCGATCGCTTTGTTGAAGAGTTCAGTGGGCATGGCAGTTTGGACACGATAATCATGTTCGAACGAACTGTGCTGAAATCAACACCAGACCACGCAGAACACTATCATACCCTCATCCATCTCGCCGATCTCCTAAATGACCGCTTCAAGCTGGAAGGGTTGAAAGAGGATTTGGACGAAGTAATTGTGCTGAGGCGAACTGCGTTAGAATCCTTTGCTCCAGATGACCCCCAAAGTCAGACAAATCTTCTCCAGCTCGACGATTGCCTTTATGAACGTTTCAGGAGGGATGATGCCATAGCAGATTTAGAGGAGATCGTGTCGCTTCGCCGAGTTTTATTAGAACGTACACCCACGCCGAATCGCTGCAAGCCTCTTCTTAACCTTGCTAATTCCCTTCACGAAAGGTTCCAAAAACAAGGTTTGGTGGAGGACATCGACGAGGCCATTATCCTTGCGCGTACTTTGTCGGAGCTGTGCCCCCCAGAGCATGCCGAGTATGCACAGTCTCGGGGATGTCTCCCACGTTACCTCAAAGCGAAGTTTAGAGCGGGGATTGCCCAGGCTCACCCAAAGAGACCCCAGATCGATCCTTCATGTTCCGGTTCTTTCGATATCAAGCGTTTCATCAAAAAGAGCTGTTTCGAAACGATTAAAAACCTTCCGCCGCACCTGTTACATACTCCGACAGGGGCCATGTGTAACCGAAAGGCTCAGCTATCTCACTTCGAGCGTAGCTATCAATACAAGCAGCTCCTGTCCACAGCCCATTTACTCACCGAGCAGCAGCTCCAAACGGCGATCGGTAGTGCGGTTACAGACTTCTTTCAAATTGCCATGCTGTCTCACAGGTGGGGGAGTGATGAGCCCTTACTACGTGAAATCGAAGGCAAAAAGATCTATAACCTGCGCGCCATAGATGGTTTGGCAAAACTCCAATATTTCTGCGCTCTTGCTCTGGAAAAAAATTTCCAGTGGGCATGGAGCGATACGTGTTGCATCGACAAAGATAGCAGCACCGAATTACAGGAGGCGATTGGGTCTATGTTTTCTTGGTACCGCCGGTCATCCCTGACGATCGTGTACCTTTCCGATGTCTCCGACGCTGGTTCACTTGCCAGTAGTGTCTGGTTCCAGCGAGGCTGGACACTCCAAGAGCTGTTAGCTTCACCTACCGTCCTCTTCTATATGTACGACTGGTCGCTCTACACGAAGAATGATAGCACGAATCACAAGACAGATCCTGCTGTGCTCCGAGAGCTCCAGGAGGCTACGGGAATAGCTAAGTGGCACCTTACCGATTTCCACCCCGGCGTGGATGACGCACGATTAAGATTCCATTGGGCATCGCGCCGTCGCACCACTCGACCAGAAGATATAGCCTATTCCCTTTTTGGAATCTTCGAGGTTCAATTGCCAGTCCTCTACGGCGAATCCGCGGAGAATGCACTCGGACGTCTCCTGGTAGAGATCATCTCACGTTCTGGAGATGTTTCGGTCCTGGATTGGGTCGGGGAGCAGTCGTCATTCAATAGTTGTTTCCCTGCCAACCTCGCACCGTATTGCGTGATACCCCAGGACTGCTCGACCCTCAACGACCCCACTAGACGCAGTGCTCTGGATACTGCAAAGGCACGGGAGTTGTATAGTAATCTTGCAGCATTACCACGTGCTACATTCGTCAGTAGGAAGCTCATGTTGCCCTCCATCATCCACAAGGTCACCAACGTCAGCCAGCACAGTTTCTCGACTAGCTCCTCACGTTACGCATACGTGATTCACGCATCACACCTTGGGCCTGTCAATATCACATTGTCGCACCAACTTAGTGACAAGTCTGGTGCATATATCCTTGTCCGTCCTTGGGATCCAAAATCACTGGAAACGCAGACCGAGAGCGATGACGAGGCTGTATGGGAGCAGTTGGAACAGCTGACGCAGCCATTCAGCGCACTCCTACTCGAGCAGTTGCATTACAACGAATACAAGAGAATTGCAAGTGACTATATGATTACCGCCCACGTTCAGGACCTGGCCAGTATCTTAGATACTGAAGTGCTTGTATTGGGGATTGTGTAGGTCATACTCGTCATGCACTCTCCCACTGTGTCCCGTCGTATTTCTGCTATGCGCGTTCCCATTTGATATCTGTGCTAGCAGCGCATTTTTAGTACCCAATCACGAGTATGTATGTACTTCTGCAAATTTGAATGGCTTCCCCAAGGGCACTCACCTAACGAGGCGTTGCTGAAAATAATGTCAGCTACTAACGGTTTTCAGTGACCAAGCCTCATATATCGAAATGGAACACCGTAGGGAAGTTGATCTCATCTACGACGTCAGGCAATCATGTGATGTGGATTGCTCGTCGCGGGCCACCTCCTAGCAACCAGTATTTATTTTGTTGCGACATTGAAGGCTATATACAATGTGCAACACAAGCCGAAATTGAATGGGGAGAACAGCACCGAAAGCGACTTATAGCTAACTGTACGAACGAACATAACAAGAAAATGACTTGTGATTGCGACCAGGCAAATGACGTCGCTCGAACTTCCCTCTGCTCCCCTGGCATGGCATTACGTGCTTACGGTGCTCTCATCGCCAATTTGGTAAGAAAAAAGGAGGTACCTTACCGATACGACCTCTGACGACTTGTTCCGGCGAAACTGATTACACACCAACATCTCACACACATACCTCTAGCTCTTAAAATTGATCGAGGGAGACATGTAAGAGAGGGGAGGAGAAGATATCACAAACGACCATCATTGAGGAAAGAGAACACACAATGCTCGGCAGAACGGCAACACACGATGACAAGTTCACTCCTCCCTCCTCCCTGACGAAACTTCCTATTTAGGTGTTGACGGCCGTGATCTACACGGAGACGTTCAGCAATTTCATTCGGCACCTTGATCTTGTCTACATGTATGCATCCATCCGCTGTGTCGTCCTCGACAATTTGCACACGTTTGAGTTCCGCAGTTGGGTGACGATCGTCGTCTTCAAACATGAACGTATACACATTGTTCCCCCAGGCCGACGCCGAGGTGTTCTGGGTCCTATAAGGTTTTGACGTCTGCTGCACGAACCTGAGGGAGTCCTTCAACTTGCAGCCCGAGAACAAAGTTTGTAGGATTACATAATCCATCCCATTCCTTCCGCTCACTGCTGGGGGCACTACCAACTGGAACAGTAGGCAGTTTATCCCGCCGCCGCAGTGAGTAAACACACCTTTCCGAGCTCCGTAATTTATGTTTCATACTGATGATAATGATGCTGATGATGACCCACGATTCTAGGAATTCCGTGTCATTCATCACGCCAATCATCATCGATCCAGAAAATGTCCCCGAAGCCATTTGAATCGGTATGTCTACCCCCTACCATGGCGTTCGTCTCTCCTTCGTAGCCGGCCCCGACATATCATGGTGGAGGGGCTCCCTGATTATAACCTTCGAGACACAAAGTATCAATAAGTTGTTTTCTTATTTTGATCTTCGCCGTAGGCACTGTGACCACTCGTTACGGTGAACGAGAGCCTTCCAAGGCCACTGGAACAACCACCCCGCGCGATGGAGCCCGAGGAGCCAGCTTCGACATCTCCTGTCGCATCCACGTCCGCCTCTGCATCAATAGTGGCGGCGGAGGCGACAACACCCCTAACGGTAGTCGTAGTCCCCCCGATGACGCCCGGAGCACCACCACCGTCACCTTCAACAGGAGCAGTACCCCTAATGCCTGTTGGCATTGACAATGACATCTCCCTCACGAACGTCATCACGCTCATTACGACAGCCACGTCTCCGCCTCACCTAAGTCAATATCTCAAAAGAAATCGCACCCAAGGAAGTCAGAGAAGTCGCGACATACTTCCCTAAACGTCAGGCCTAACGTCGTCAGCAGTGTGGTCGACCCTGCTGAGGTTGGCAAGAGTTTGGTAATGTTGGCATTGATTTACAGGCAAAACTTCCTAAATGAGTTCTAGTTCGCCAACCGATTATTTGAATGCCACGGTATCAAAGTCGCAGAGATGGGTTCACATCGTACAGAGCATATCAAGGCATTGAAGTGCAACCTCATGAACAGCCAAGTCAATATCGTAGTCGTCAAGATACCCATATTGCATTCGAACCGTGAAGATCTCGATCTCGATGCTGAGAATGCGATGATTAGTTGGTTAAAGTTGGGTGTGACAAACGCCCTTCGATTATAACGTTTTAAATACTGCCACAGCTTGTCCGAAAAATGTCATTCTGGAATTCTCTTTCTCCACTCGCTCGACTCGGATCCGACAGATTTCCGTACACTGATGTTACAGCGTTTCGAGTTGCTTGTCAAGCGTTTTTCTAGCAAGATCACGGTTCCGCCCTGCATTTATGTGGTGCCGACTATCAACTTGGACTCGCTTCTTCCCGACGAAACGCAGAGCCAACGGTCGTCGCAGCTCAAAACTACGACGGAAGCGTTGAACGGCAACGGAAACAGGAAATGGCATGCATCGATGTTCCCTGAAGTCTTCAAAGGCCAACCAGAAACAGCGTGGAGTGCGGCACTGTTGCTACTCAAAGATATAGCTGAGACTCAGGTACATCGCTCTGCACCGCATTCAATCCATCTTGGAAATAACTGTATTTTCATGCATACGTAGGCAAAAGTGACCGCCCCCCTCCCGAAGGAACCTGCCTTGAAGCGCATGTCCGCGCAATTCCCAGACGGTCACTTAGCTCTGAAAGATCTTGCCGATCACCTTATCAAAGAATTCAGGGGAAGGGAAAGGAACGTTGATTTCGATGCGGTAATCACGCTTGGGCGAACTGCACTGGAATGTATGCCACCAGAACACTCACAACGCCATTATGCCCTCATCAATCTCGCCGATCTCCTATCCGAACGGTTCAAGAAGAAGAGAACGAAAGAGGATTTGGACGAAGTAATCATGATAAGACGAGTTGTGTCGGAATACATGGTCCCGAACGACCCACATAGACAAAGAATTCTTCTCGAACTCGACGACTGCCTTCACGAACGCTTCAGGAGGGAGGACTCCATGGCAGACCTGGAAGAGATCATATCTCTTCGCCGGGCTGCATTGGAACGTACTCCTCTGCCGGATCGATGCAGACCTCTTCTCGACCTCGCTAGTGCCCTTCACGAACAATTTCAAAGACAAGGCCTAGCGAACATCATGAGTGAGGCTGTTAGCCTCGCGCAAGCTGCGTGGGAGCTTCACCGCCCAGGTCACCCAGATCATGTATTATCTCGAGACCTTCTCGCGAGTTATCTCAAAACGAAGGTTAGAGCAGGGTCTGCTCCTGCTCATGTGAAAGAACCAGGGGCTAGCTCTTCGGGCTTCAATTCCCTTAATATCAAGCAATTAATCAAGAGGGCTGTTTCCAAAACAGTTGAAAAAATTCCCCACCGTTTGTTGCACACGCCCACTGGCCTTTTGTGTAACCGGGATGCGCAGGTATCCCGTTTTGAGGGCAGCCATCAGTACAAGCAACTGCTGTTGTCCACCTCTCCGCTCAACAGCCAGCAACTTGTAACGGAGATCGATGATGTGCTCTCAGAGTTCTTTGAATTTGCCACGCTGTCTCACAAGTGGGGGATTCGCGAGCCGTTACTGCGCGACGTTGAAGGGAAAAATATCTATGACTTAGGCGGCATGGACGGTCTGGCGAAACTCCAGCACTTTTGCATTCTCGCTTTGGGGCAGAATTTCCAGTGGGCATGGAGCGATACTTGCTGCATTGACAAAGATAGCAGTGCCGAATTGCAGGAAGCGATTGGGTCGATGTTTTCTTGGTACCACCAGTCATCCCTGACAATTGTGTACCTTTCCGATGTCTTCGATGCTGGTTCGCTTGCCAATAGTGTCTGGTTCACACGAGGTTGGACACTTCAAGAGTTGTTGGCCTCACACACTGTCTTCTTCTTTACGTACGACTGGTCTCTCTACACGACGAGTGACACTGCGAACCACAAAACAGACCCTACCGTGCTCGAAGAGCTCCAGAAGGCAACGGGAATAACAAAACGGCACCTTGTGGATTTCTATCCGGGCATGGATGTCGCACGAACCAGACTCCACTGGGCATCAGGCCGTGGTACCACTCGACCAGAAGACATTGCCTACTCACTTTTTGGAATCTTCAAGGTTCACTTACCAGTCCTCTATGGCGAACCTGTGGAGAATGCCCTCGGACGCCTCCTGGCAGAGATCATCTCTCGTTCTGGAGACATTTCGGTTCTGGATTGGGTTGGGGAGGCATCATCGTTCAATAGCTGCTTCCCTGCCAATCCCGTACCGTACCAGACGGTACCTGACATCCAGCTGACCCCCAGTGACCCTGCTAAACACAGTGACCTGGATCTGGAAAAAGCACAAAAATTGTACAATAACCTTGCAAGATTACCGCGGGCCAAATTTGTCAACAACAAGCTTGTGTTGCCCTCCATCGCCCACCTAGTCACTGTGGTCAAACTACAAGGGACCTCAACTAGACTCTCCGACCGTTATACATACGAGATTCATGCATCGCGCCTTACGCCCCTCGAGCTCACACAGTCGGTCTACCTTGATGAGGATGCCTGTAGATATATTCTTGTTCGTCCTTGGCATCCAGAAGCGCTCCCGACGCGAACCGGTAGCAATGACAACGCTGTGTGGGAGCTGTTGGAACAGTTGAAGCAACCATTCAACGCACTTCTACTCAAGGAGTTGCGTCACAATGAGTACAGGAGAGTTGCAAGCGACTGTGTGATTACTGCTTGCCCTCAGGATCTGGTCAGTGTCCTAGATAGTCAAGTGCTGATACCCAAGATTGTGTAGGAAGTCTCTCTTACCGAAAGTTACCCGCATCACCGAGGGCCCCTTTATGTTTTGTCCTAGCATGTGTGTCATTTTATACCTGTACACGGGAGGGTATTGTAGGTACCACGAGCGCGCAAAGCATGTCGGACCCTCTGTTTCTGTATGCAAGGGTCAACCCGGGTAGCCAGAATCTGTATGGAGTTCGCAAGTATGGGCAACTAGTATTCATCTCGTTGCGACGTCGAAGGCTATACGATGTGCAACGCAAGCCGAACTTGAGTGGGGGAACAGCGTCGAAAGCGGGTTATAGTTAATTGTACGAACGAACATGACATGAGAAAGACTTGTGATTGAGACTAGGCGAATGACATTGCTCAATGTCCTCGAACTTTCCTCAAATCACCTGTCATGGTTTTACATGCTTATGACACTCTCGTCGCCCAGTTGGTAAGAAAAAATGGGGGCACCTTACCGATACGATCTCTTACAGCTTGTTCCGGCGAAACTGATTACACACCAGCATCTCACACCCAACGCACCTCTAGCTCCCAAAATCGATCGAGGGAGACAAGTAAGAGAGGAGAGGAGAAGACATCGCAAACGACCATCATTGAGGAAAGAGAATACACAATAGTCAGTAGTATTCCCCGCCTGCACAAACAGCACACTCGCAAAAAAATACAACGGCAACGCACGATGACAATGCTCACTTCTCCCTCTTCTTTGACGAAACTTCCTATTTATCTGTTGACAGTCGTGATCTACACGGAGACGTTCAGCCACTTCGTGAATTATGCGCTGGCGGCCGGTATCATCTCGAGTGCCGAAGTTCCGAGGTGGGGCGGACCAGTGCCCATAGTTCTAATATTAGTTAAACCTACAGGTTTTGGAGGTACGGCAGGACTGAGCCGCAGCGAAGTAATTGTCGAAGTCAAAGATGCAGACTTTGAAGATACTGCGGGGCAAGAGCATGACGGCCTGAATAAGGGATCGTACATGAGATCGGTGGTGGTGTTACCGAAGACTGGGCAGCAGCGAGACACTGATTCCGAGTTTGGATACGACGCACGGTTGCATCAGCAGCTGGGAAGTCGTTTGTGGGAGCTCTCGGTTAAACTGACAGTGTAAACAGAACTGGACGTGGTATTCTGGAGTCCGAAGAGGAACTCCCGGGTGGACTGGTGCAGCAGCAGGAGCTCGGATGAAGCTGGCGCGGTATGAGGAGCTCTTGGTTGAACTACATGAGCAGGCTGAGCCCTGGGTTGTGACGTGGACATTTTGAGGCCTTGGCTGAACGGGATCTACTTCACTGAACACTACGCAAGGGTGCTCACTCTGACCGAATTGCGCGTCGATTCTCTGCTCCGGCGCGGTAAACGGTCAGCACTCATCCCACTGACTCGGAGGGCACCTATACATCTTCCACTGCACCCCCACAAATAACAAAACTCTGTCCTGCACCGACATGTCGTATGATAATATCCCATGTTCAGGTCAATAAGCTACGAGAGCCTAGGCATCGCGCCAAGCCTTGCCCGAGAATGAGATGGACAAGGCGATGGGCAGGCGGAATGTGTGTGTTTTCTATTACACTTCGGCTGGGGGTACTGAAGAACTGACTCTTCTACGACAACCCGGAATGCAGTATTTTGCTGTATCTTGTTTATTGCTGTCAGATGTCCCAATCTCTTCGCTCTTGATAGGATTTAAGGTTGCAAATGGAGGACGCGGAACAGGTGGCGTTCTCCCTCCTTGGTCGGGCCTCGGCAGATGTCTCTAGTATCTACGACTGCAACATACGCTCGGAGAGTATGTAGATTAATCCGATTCTACTAAATCAGAAGATTGAGATGTCCGTCAGGCTTTCGTTCGTTCGTTACCCCTTCGCTAGCAGGCTCAGACGTGCGATCTCCACCACCCCATCTTCGTATCCTTGAATATGAATATGATTGGGTAAGTAACGACAGGTGCACAGACAACCGGAAGGTGGGCCTTGTGCTACCGTCATATCCCAGATCTCCACTGTCTTCTCGCTCGAATGAAGCGCTGTCACGACGACGGCCTCTGGGGCAGTACTTGTTCGCGAGTAATGATCTGCGCCGTAGTCAGAACTATCAGTTCCCTACCCAGTGCCATCAGCTACACAGGCTCCACAGAACGCACCTCTAGTCCCACAAGCTGGGCAAGTTCGCCTAATCGATCTCTCGTTGACCCGAAAAAGTTGCATCTGCGGAGGAGGGAAATGGACTGGTACCCTATCAGTGGAGCAGACGATGATAAAAAAGCCACGACAACATACGAGGAGCAAGCCGTTGGTGATCACAAGTCGTCGCCCGTAGTGCGGAAGCTGTTGTCCAGAGAATCCACTCAATTGCATATGGGGCGTGTCATCGATCACGCTCACGTTGCCTTGCAGGGGGAAGACACTGTGCAATACCCATGGATGTCCAGCGAGTGGGTTAGCCTGTTGGTGTTTCTCTGGCGACAATAACCCCAAAGGGCACTGTTCACATCAACGGAGAAACGCTAGAGAATCGAAGCAGAGTGCTGGTATATGGCGTATCATACAGGTGAGATGTCATCTAGGAAGAGATAGTGATAAACTCACGCGACTTAGGGTCAACGTATGCACTCCTTTTTCGGCCGAGGAACAGCATCGATGAAACTGCTGATACCTCTACAGTCAACTTCAGTATCCCCGAGATGCATTGAAATTTCGTACCGCAACAGCAGATTGTAAATGCGTACCACTTGGCGAGCATATCCATGTGACTATCCGATCTACGGGGTACCCGTACAGGATGGTATTGACTGAGTCAAGGATTTCTCCTCTTGTTCCTCCATCTACCAACCTCATCCTGCTCGGAAGGGCCAGCGCGTTTGCCAGGAGTACATGAGGTTCGTTGGCGTCCGTTGACGCGACGAGAACGGTCGGGGCTCGGCGTCGTCCATCAATCGTGATGAAGAGGGTGGACAGGGGAGTAGGTGCGCAGTACGGACGATGATCGTTGAAGAGGAAGGTAGGCGTGCAGAGCGGACGACCTGCGTGCTGAATCTATAAGGGCAGCTGTGAGCCTGACATCTGATTTCGGGGGTACTTTCCGGGTCAGCCACCTTTTGGCTGCCGGCTAGCCGAAGGGACGAGGCTTGGTACGTGATCATCTAAGTTTCAATGCATATCCGCACTGCTGGTTGTGATGCGTAGAGTCTACGAGACGTTGGTAGGATTCTCCCTCTAAGACGACTCGCAAATTGGGAGGCCGACATTCGATTCCGAAGGCTCTTAGATGTATGTACCACAAACAACCATTGGTAGAGCTCTCCATTGTCGCCCTTGTCCTCGAAGGCTAGTCGGAACCTGCACTCGAATTGAAGGTCGGAAAGGATTCACAACGCAACAAAATGGAACACCCACATATATGCCTCGTCGGTTCGTCAACTCCAACCTCCGTCCTCTACTAATTCTAGCCTCCTTCAATACGTACCTATCCAACCATCGAATCCCCATCTCCCTAACATTCGGTGGTGCGTGACACCCATAAAGAAACACGAATATCATTGGGTAAGTAACAGAACAAAGCACGTTTTGGAATACGTAGGAGGTAAATACATCGTGTCGGTATATTCGTAGATAGATAGCTTTTGTTGGCCCGGATAGGGCCACGTATATATGCGACAGATGCGACGATGTCGGGAGGGGTATGATGAGGACGATGAACAAAGACAACGAAAACAGCACGAAAATACGAACACAGAAATGACCGCTGAAGGGAGAAATACAGACCAGATGTAACAACCAGCAGTCCCCCACATACACGTCAAAGGATTTCTAGCACTTTCACTCGAATGTTCTTGGAGGTAATGTTGGTTCCGAGCCCCGAGACGACAATCTCCCTCTCGGCAGCGACCCTCTTGTACGTTCCATTCCATTGTTGTACGAGAAGAAACGCGTTGAAGGACTGTCCGAGACGAGCGATCATCTCCAGTGCCCGGGTATAGCTGTCAACCTGTGGTACAGGGACAATCCAAGTCAGAATCAGGGTCAGATTCCGAGTCATTTTCCAAGGTAACACCACTGCTCAGGCCTCGGGTATGATCGATCCACGGATGCGCGAAGGCGAATTTCTGTGTCCCGTTCAGCGGGAGCTGATCTATGGTCGTGAATTCCACTTCACCAAGCCCCGATACCCGGGCAAGATATAACTTTTCATTGCCTCCACATGGCTTCTCGAGACTTCCCACAGAGAAGACGATGCATGGAAGGTGCAGACGTCAGGTTGTAAAACGGGCGAGGGAAAGATGGTTGATCTTATTATATATAATCCGCGCTTTTTGTCTGGGAAACTTGTCACGTAGCTTCGCGATGCAACTTTTCATTTCTGCCCCTTCGAGTGATGAGGGGTCGTAAGGAATTTGGCTATAAACGGAAAATCGAAGCCGGGAGACAGCTGTTGCATGACGATGAATTCCCTGACCACGCAAGTACGGTGACCTCTCCATTGCGGGCCACGATCTCCTCCAGGAGATGTCCGAGAGCGTCGCTTCCTTCGCCGTAGTGGGGCCTAATATCGGACGTGAATATCCCGATCAGAGAGTATGCGACGTCTTCATCGAACTTCGCATTGCGCGTCGAAGCGAGACGAAGTTTTTCGCGCACCCCAAGATTGTCTGGAAAGAACGTGACGATGGTTCCGGAGGGGATCTTGATAGCATCCGCTCGCTCTTGCATGATCCCTGGAGATTGCTTGTGGCTCACGCCAGTATTGCCGAAGTACGGTTTCCACCCGGAGTCGTAGAAAAAGATGACGTTTGGTGAGAGAAGCTCTTGTAATGTCCAAGTTCGCGCCATCCATAAACTACGCGAAAGGTCCCCGGGCTTGGGCGGATGGGCTACACCGGCAAGGAATACGAGCGTGGCCGCCGAATTCGCATACCACTTGTACATGGAGGTAAGGGACTGGTTAAGGACAGAGCTCGCGGACTTGTCGATACAACACATATATGACCATGCCCAATTGTGACCGAACCTGCGCGTTCCCAGGCGAAAAACACGCAACTTGTTATTCAGGGGCGTGTCGGGAAGGTCCTACACGGAGTTGACTACATTGACGTCCTGGAACGACGGCTCGTTCCCCTACCATGCGTGCGAGAACATGACGTATCCGAAAAACCTTTCAACCACATGTCGGATCTCCGTCCTGTCCACTTTTTTTGTCATGGATGAAACAAGTCCTTTGAACCTCGTATCAGCCTTGAAAATACGCATCCGCCCAGTATCATTGCAAAGGCAGCCGGTAGTGACATCAATGACGACGAGGGGACAACAGATCTCGCTGACGATGGAATCGATTGCAGCAATCACGTCGGGTGGTGAAATGTAGTTCTTACGGAGTTCTGTGAAACCGTCACTTGGGGTATTAGTTTCATAGAGGAGGTACATACGGGTGGTTGCGGGGTCATGGGACTGATCCATCCTATGTAGCATGGACTTGAAAGCCTCGATTGCCTCGTCATACTGCTTCGCGCCATGAAGCACCACATGCGTGGCCTCATAGCCCCAAGGACTGGAGGGATCCGCTTTCACCTCCTATACAACAACCGTAGGGGAACCTACTCATACAAGAGAGATACTATGCATACCTCGTTCGCATCCTGTATTGCTTCCTCCCACAACCCTTTTGTAGCGCGAGTTCTGCTTCGTTTGATAAGTAGACTCGCAGGACTTGAAGGACTGAGTATTATTTTATTGCGTCGTCATGTTCTGAAGATCCGAAAGCATCGTCGCCAAGACGCTCAAGCGTCGCAGCACATTTTTGGGTGAAGTCTGATGACAGATATGAATGTGAACGTCAACTAGCGGTTACAAGACATACCTGCGATCCAACCCACAATTGCATTTCGCTCCTTGTCTGACGTCCTGATGATATTGAGGAGGATCTCCGTGGCTTCGGCAGCACGTCCTTCAGCATAGAGGGTCTCACATAGATGTTGCCGGGCGGTGGTATCCGGTCCGTTGGGACTCCGCCCGGGTGTCTTCGTGGGGCATTGCATTAATAGGCAACGCTAGTAAGAGCAGAGGACCTACAAGTGAGATCGTCACTAGCGGAGGACGTTGTTTGTCCTTGGGGGCCAGGTTCTTCCCATGCTCGATCAATGATATCGCACGTCCGTAGCTGTCTTTGTTCGTGTACATGACCCCAAGCACCTGCGGGATGAATCAGCAGTGATACTTACATGTCGGCGTCACGCGAGGCACGTACCTGGGTATAAAGGTAGGAAGCGTTGAAATCGTTGTCCTCGCCCGCTATCGTAGCGAGGCGTTCTGCGCGCATTACGCGCTCCTCTTGATTTCCGGATTCAAACACAAGGATCGACTGAGCGGAACGCAGATTAATGGTGAAAAGGACGCAGATTAAGTCGCGCACCTTCAGTAGTAAGAGAATTCTGTGGTCATGCAGCTCACAATCATGAAATGCAAGGTCGAATGTGCGCAGCGCACCCTCCCGATCGCCCTGGGCAAGTGGAGCAATCGCCATCGCGATATGGCTGATAGGTGATCGCCGAATCCGGTGGGACTTGGGGTGCATGTGGGCAACCATACACATGGAGTAGTGAGGAAGCGGACTCACCTCCTTGACGTCCTCTATCACAGGTGCCGAATGTTTCAGTCTTGTTCGTATAAGTGCGCGGTTCGCTAGCACGTAGTGGCTAGGGCTAGAAGCGCCCGCAATCTCCTGAGAGTGGCACTTCGTTTTTCGTCGGCTCGTCCTGTATCTGCGACTCGAAGGTCTTGTTACTCAAATCTACGAGCGGAAGCTGAGAGACGCGGAATTAGCGACGGATTAAAGCGTTACACAGGGCACAAGAATAGCATGGTGATTGTTAGTGAAGCGAGCTTCATGAGTGGATGTACACTTACACTGTAGTCGAGATACTGATCGCGGATTGTAATATTCTTGCCATTTCCACATGCGAGATACCACCCGCTTGGTGAGACGGCGGCATGTCCGACCGCTGTGGTATGTGTGATAATGCTACCGATCTGCTTGTGGGACGCACAATCCCATAGCGAAACCGATGAATGTGTGGCACATGCAATGAATCTGCTGTTAGATGTTATAGATGGTTGGGATTGGTTTTCATGGATCGACCATTCTGAAGTCAAAGACTTGGAAAGGTCAAAACAGATAATTTTGCCTTTGTTCGCGACGAGCAGTTGCTGGCCATCAGGCGACCAGGCTAACGGAGTGACGAAATAACCGCTGGCGCAACCGCTTTGACCTGAATCAAACAAAATATTGTCGGTGCTGTAGACACGGAAACCTTGTGTCGTCGAGACGGTAGCAAATTGAGTGCCGTCCGGAGAGAACTTGACGCCAGCAACGTTAGAATGTGAGAGGGGAAGGAGTCGGTCACCGTAAGGGATGCCGAATATTCGGGCGCGGAGGAAGTCCGCAGTGGCAAGTTTAGTACCGTCGCTCGAGGTATCGACCGAATTTACATGGCAGCTGTGTTCTGTGAACTTACGCACATTCGCCTGAGTGGCAGCTGCGTTCCAAAGAATTGCATTGTTGTTGTGGTCTCCGAACACGATCCACTGGCCATCCTGGGACACGCCAACAGACCAGACAGGGCTACTCGTTTTCATGGTTTGCCCCTGTTGTCGTCCGTCTTCAATCTTCCGTCGTTGAATGTCACCTCCATAATCACCTCCTACGACTTGACTTTCGCCCGCAAGGGCGACTCCGTGTACATCATTCCGAAACACAATTTCGATCCGTTTCGCATCTTAAACACCAGAGCGAACATTTAGTAGGGCTGTCTCAGCCTCTCTGACTGCTGGTACGCACCCATCGTCATCGCTAACAAGCCTGCTAACACAGTCTGTCCTGGAGTTTAGAGGGGAGAAGAATGATGCATCGTAAACTTGCTCGCGGTGCTCAATATATGGCCTACAGTTCCTCGAGCTATCCATACGGTAGGACCAGTGCGTACAGCCAAAGTCACATCGTGTTCTTCGAGATCAGGAAACCGATGCAGATTTGGCAGTGCAGGTCCTAGTAATGATCCCTGAGCTCCACAGGATCCGGACGATGTCACACAGGGTAAGGGTTGGTGGCAACATGTCGAAGGAAGACGTGGTGACGCTATTGGCAATATCTACAGCCATCACCAACCCCAAAAAATTGTCCACCGCATGCACTGCCCTCTGCCGCACCCTCCGTGCCACCAAATCTTTGGGCTCCACCATGTCCTCACTCGTCGATACCCTCAGCCCCTCACATTTCCTCTCACCAGGATCTGAATCTGCCCCAAAATCCAGTCCTCACGCGATGATAAAACATGTCCGGGTCGCACCTCTGTTTCACGTTCATCAGTACGCTTGTCAAAACACGTGCGCCATTCCACTGAGATGGGAGAGGTAAGATGTAATACAACAGCAACATCGTCACCGGCAAACATCTCATTTATCGAATCGTGCGGCACCTGGATTGTCGATAAGTATCCTCGTAGGGATGCATCTGAATGTCGATGTTATACTTGAGACCTTTCAGTCTCGTCGGCGTTCCACTCAAAACCAACTTTCATGACGATCTCATCTTCACAGCGACAGCCAGCAACGTCTTCGCTGTACTCGATGCTACAGACGGATCATTAGATGGGCACTGGGCAATCTAATATTTAGTAGAAGCTCTAACTCGTCGCAAGCGTGGCGGAGCATCCACGACGACAACGATGTCCGCATCATGATATTCGTCATGTACGACGACTCAAGAACATGTCTTGGTCTGGCGTCTCATCATCTAATAAATATCCTCTGCAGATGTCGCACTGCTCTCTGGACCCGGTGGGTCCACTTTGTGCACGTACGGCACATCTACAGGCCACCGTTCCCTCTAACGTCGCCTCCATAACCATGCGGACGCTCAAGCACACGAAGTACTACACATAGCGATCACAACAGGGCGAGTTTCAGTCGAGGGGGGCACGGGGTTCTTCCACTCACCAATCACGACACGGTCAGTCACATAGACAACCAGTTTAACGACGTCGTGTGTACATGGAACTCTCTAGACAATGGGTTTGCCCAGTATCCTCCTTTACAGCAACACGATGATACCATGATAGGTCTCTTGTGACGTACTCCCAGATCGGTACGACACCAGACGCCATCTACGCGATGGTCTCGCCAAGTCCAAGGCGGCGTACACTCTCCACGTCACCAGTATGTTCATAGGCAACGGATCCGCCATTGCATTTGTCAACATCCCTGCACACCTCGCAAAGCACATACCCGGTTTTATCCTCTTTATGCAAGACATCGGACTCGCAGAGGCGGGACAGTTTATCGCATCACACAGGATGGGTCTACCCATGTTATAAGGTACAACGGTGAGTCCCTACGACCGATAGGGGAATTCACCGACGCGGTACGTATCCAGCTGGTGTATTCCGCGTCGCAGCCTGACAGGGACAAGCAGGCACTGTCACACACACCCCGAGTCGCATTTCGGAGGGGGCTTTGGTAAGGACGGCGAACCTCGCATTGCGTGAGTGTATTAGTCACACGCAAACCGTGTTTGTATCCTCGTCTCTGGCCATGCTTATGACGGGATCGAAGACTTCGATGATATAGCGAGTAATCCATCAGACGTCCACCCCGCGTCTTTCTGAGGGTACAAGACAAGCAACGGGATATGCATTTCCATTCCCAACACACGGTGCAATTCGACACGTAAGTGATCATCTCTCTTTATACTCTGCCACTTACTTCTCACCCCACTCAAAGATTACCTTCGACGGACGATCTCGTAGCTCTCACGAAAGGTATTGAAATGCCACACTGTAATAGTAACTTAAGTTGCAGATGCGGAAGATCAGCAGAGTACGTTCGTGTAACTATGCGACGAGGTCTCGACCAGGTCAAGGAATGTTCCGCTCACCCCTCCGTCTGTGGAGCTTGTCCTGCTCGAAGAGCCAGTGCGCTTGGCAGGAGTACATGAAGTTTATTGGTACTTGACGTCTTCTATCAATCGTGACGTAAGGGAGACGGGGGGGGGGAGTATGTGCATAGTAGGTTGTTGATGATGGTTGAAGAGGAAGGTGGGCGGGAAGGGCGGGCGACTGGCGTGCTGAATACATAGGGGCAGTTGGGACCCTAACATCTGATTTCGGGGAGTGTACTCCGGGTCAGCCCCCTTTTGGCTGCCGGCTCGCTGAAGGGATGAGACATGGTACGTGATCATCTAAGTTTCAATGTATGCTCTAACTGCCAATCATTAGATGCGTAGAGCCTATAAACGTTGGTAGAATTCTCCCTCCGAGACGACTGGCGTGCTGCATTTATAAGGACAGCTGGGAGGCTGACGTCCGATTCCTAAGGCTCTTCCGGTCAACCACCTTTTGGCAGTCGACCTACGAAATATGTGGAACAAGCAACCGCTGGTAGTGCCATTCGTAGCCACCCTTGCCCTCGAAGGCTAGTCGTAAGCTGCTCCCGAATCGAAGGTGGGATAGGATTCACAACGAAATAAAACGAAACATCCACGTCTATACCTCATCGGCTCGTCAACTACAAAAATCCAACCCCTCGTCCTCTCCACCGATTCTGGCCTCGACCTTGTATAGCCCCTCCTTCAACGTCCAAAAGGCTTTATACGCAGACATCCACCTTGACTGGGCCCCTCTGTTTATGGAGGTTTCGTTAGTCTTGTTTTGCGTATCGCTCAGAATCCTCGAACATGAACCTTGCAACCATCCTCCCCACATTCGGTGGCACCTGACACTCACAAGGAAACGCGAACACGATTGGGTAAGCAACAGAACAAAGCACATCCACCTAAGCAGGCGAGGTAGTTGCAACTCCTGCTTAACGACGTCAGCTTTCCGCACTCCGTCGGTTACATGGGGACGCTAACCGTACCTCTTACACTGCCAGTCGCGATCTCAGTGTTCTATACTCCATATTCACCCGTTGCCGGAGGAACCCTTTCCACGCGAACCAAGAAGAGAGACCGGGGGCGTCTAATCGGCACCGCTCAGCCCATGAGATATCCTGGAGCGATACCGAGATCGAGCCTATTAATTAGAAAATGTTGCTGTGAACGGCAAGACCCATTAGCTCCAATTATCCCTCGACTGTTAGCTGGCCGAATTGCAACTTACCTCTCTTATAGCTGTTTCTACGTCCAGGGAAACGCATCCTTCGCCCGGTTTTATCCTCGGCGTGACAGTCTATCGCACATAACCTGTAGGAGAACTGAATTCTTGGACACGCTCAGTGTCGTAGACACAAACGACTGAGGCTCACCAAAGACAAAAACATATCTATAAGTACAAGCGCCATGGCCAACCACGTGACCATTCATTCCAATACATGAACGAAAAACACATAAAGGGAAGCCATGCGTAAAGAGAAAACCTGCGTAGAAAACCAGACCAGGGAAGAGCGGCCGTTGAAACCTGAACCCAGCGCCCACTGGAGAGTGAAAGACCAGCAGCATGCGAGGCAGCGTGCCAGAGACAACCTATCTCTTCATGGCACGTAGGTGTTCATTGAGCATCGCAGCTTCGGCAGCTCATATCACACTTCGTAGGGTGATTTCGTCGACCGGAGCCACTACAGTCTTGAAACCATGTCACTACTCCAAGTACTCAAAGCAGGGCAAGCTGTTCCGATCATTACTTGGCCCCTATTATTGTTTATGGTTATTCAGATATTCTGCCAAGGTCACGTTGTTGCGAGGAAATCACGAAAGTCGACAAAATCACCCAGGTCTACGGGTTCTATGATCTGTCTCTGCATGCACTCTTCACCCCGGTTAATTCTCCCCAGACGAATGCCAACATAAATACGGAAGCGCCGCAGTACGGAAAACTTGCTGTAACGTGTTCGACTATCTGAATCTCGCTGTAGTACGTCGCCACACATTCCTGACGAACATCACTTATAACCCATCTCAAATCATCGGCGGAGAAACGCTATGCGTACATGGCAGACTCTCTCCGGATATACGCACCCTCGACTAAATTCGCGTCCTCGCAAGAGCCCAGGAGATTCCCCACGAATGCACATTCTGCGGTGCGTTTTATTTCAGCCTTCCTCAAGTTGGAATCATTTGATGATGTGTTGCACACGGGCTTCATGTGGTCAGATCCTGACGACATCGATAATTGGGCTGTAAATCCCAGCGGTGCGAGCTGGCTATTCGGAGGTAACGTAACTCGAGAGGTACCTCGTTCATGCCATTCAGGTTAATCGCATATACTCAGCCTAGCATCTTCACACCCAGTCTTATCGCCCGCGCCCACTAACTCGTTCGAGAAGGCTACAAATACATGTTCGACAACGCCCTAGTCACCATATGGTCCGCACCCAATTATTGCTATCGACGTGGGAACATGGCGTCGCTGTTAACGCTAAGAGAAGGTGTGGAACATGAATTCAAGGTATTTGGCCTGGTTCCCTGGAATGAGAGGGACAAGGGGATGGGCAGGCCGAATGTGAGTTTTTTCTGTTGCACTTCTGCTGGGGCACTGAAGTGCTCTACGACAGTCCGGAATGCAATATTTTGTATAGTTATGCTGTGTCTCGCTTATTGCTGTCAGATATCCCGGACTCTTCGCCCTTGATAGGATTGAAGGTTGCGAATGGAAGACGCGGAACCGGTGGCGTTCTCCCTCCCCGGTCGGGCCTCTGCAGATATCTCTACGACTGCAACATACGCCCGGAGTAGGTATGTAGACTAATCCGATTCTACCAAATCAAAGATTTCTGTCAGGCTTACGTTCGTTCTTTATCCCTTTGCTAGCAGACTCAGACGTGCTATCTCCATCACCCCATCTTCGTATCCTCAAATATGAATATGATTAGGTAAGTAACGACAGGTGCACAGACAACCGGAAGGTGGGCCTTGTGCTACCGTCATATCTCTCATCTCCACCGTCTTCTCGCTCGAATGAAACGTTGTTACGACGACGGCCTCCGGGGCAATGTTTGCGAGTAATGATCTACGCTGTAGTCAGAGCTATCATTTCCCTACCCAGTGCCATTAGCCACAGAGGCACTACAAAACGCACCTCTAGTCCCACAAGCTCGACAAGTTCGCCTAATCAATCTCTCGTTGACGCGTCTGCCGAGGAAGGAAACGGACCGGTACCCTATCAGTGGAGCAGACGATGAGGGTAAGGATCAAGAAAGCCATGACGACGCACGAGGAAGTGGTCGTCCGTATAGCGGAGGCTATCGTCCAGAGAATCCACTTAATTGCGTATAGGGCGTGTCATCGATCACGCCACGTTGCCTTGCAGGGGGAAGACACTGCGAAATCAATGGATTTCCAGCGAATGGGCTAGCCTGTTGGTGTCTCGCTGGCGACAATAAGCCCAAGGGTACAGATTGCATCAACGGAAAAACACTAGAGAATCAAAGCACAGTGTTGGTATATGGCGTATCATACAGGTGAGATGTCGTCCAGAGAGATAACGATCGTCTCATGCGACTCATGTAGACCCAACGTTCAGCGACGGAACGGCATCGATGGAACTGCTAACGCCCCTACAGTCAACTTCAGTACCCCGAGACGCATCGAGGTTTCGTACCGCGACAGTGGATTGCAAATGCGTACGACTGAGCGAGCATATCCATGTGACTATCTGACCTGCGGGAGTACCCGTGCAGGATGGGATCCACCAGGTCAAGGATTGCTCCTCACGTCTCTTCGTCCACAACTACCCGGAAGGACCAGCGCGTTTGGCAGGAGTACATGAGGTTCGTTGGCGTCCGTTGACACGACGAGAACAGTCGGGGCTCGGCGTCGTCCATCAATTATGACGCAGAGAGGGGACGAGGGAGTAGATGCGCAATGCGGATGTTGATAGTTGAAGCGGAAGGTAGGCGGGCGGAGCGGACGACTGGCGTGCTGAATCCATAGGGCAGTGGAGAGCCTGACATCTGCTTTCGGAGGGTACCTTTCGGGTCAGCCACCTTTTGGCTGCCGGCTGCCGAAGGGATGCGGGCTCGCCTTGAAGTGTTCATTGAATACTGAAGCGATCCCATCTCTCCATGTCTGCGTTCCGTTGGCACTAGCAGTGTGAACGACACCAACTGACGATCATGGTCTGTAGATGAACGCACACACGTTATTCTCGGATATAGGCCCTCGTTGGGGCGCTCTGGGGCTTATAAGTTTTTGATGCCTACCTGAGGGAATCTGGTCATTCAACTTCAGCCAGTTTGTAGGATTACACAATCCATCCCAATCCTTCCCCCACGCTAAGTCCTACCAACTGGTGCAGTAGGCCACTCATCCCGTTGCCCTTGCGCCGACTATAATGATGCTGGTGATGATCTGTGATTCCAGGAGTACCGTGTCTTTCATCACGCCAATCATCATTGCAATACCATTCGCCGTTATCTCTATTAGCCCGGAATTATACGTTTGCAAAATGTCGATCCAGGAACTATCCCCGGACCAATTTGAATCGGTACGTCTACCCCCTAGCATGGCATTCGCCTCTCCTTCGTGGACACGAAAATATCTGTCCTCCCTTCTAGCGTGCTATGGATTCCAGGCTTCCAGTTGCAAGGATATACGCCTGGAAAGGATACGCACGTATGTTATGTCGCATACGGTCGTGATTTTAAGAGCTGTTTTGAGACACAAGGCAGGACCCTCCATACGATGTGCGAGAGCGTCATGGCTACGACAGTGATTTGACGAAGTAAGAACGCATAAGCGTGGCACAACGTGAGCTAGCGGTGCATCGAGTGATGCAACTACGGCGAATGACATTGCTAACGGTAGCACTGTGGCCGCATCTTCAGCCTGTCCGAAGAAGTCTTTGGTCTCCAGCCGAGTCTTGGAGGTTTTCAGGGGGAGTATAAAAATTGCAGTCGGCTCTATATTGTACATCGGAAAGAGGGAACCGAAGGAAGTGAGGTAGTGTGGAGGAACAGACACATTAGCGCCGGAAGTTCCCTTTTACAATGCGGAGAGATTCATAATCCCGTCACTATCGTCTGCATTCCTCGGGAAAATGTAATGAATTGATGACCTGCTTTCCAATGACGTGCCGCAAGTTAATTCCTCGTGGTGTGCCACTTGAATATGAGGTCAAACGTGTTCCATGCTGTTGTCCTCGTTGTAACCTCCCCTCGAGCATGTTTTTGATGTCCCTGTTGGAGTTAGGTCTGGTCGCCCTCCACGCCGTCACAGGCTGGCTAATAGCGGAACTCTCCATTATAGATTGGGTAGAAGGTGCGCCCTCTTCGCATGTTCCGTTTTCAGTTCCCGGTGACATCGGGGACAATACACGAGTCCTTTGTAGAATAACCAATACTTACCGTGAAATTCGATACAAGCTGGTACGAGTACTATCGGTTGGGATGACCCAGGTGGCATTGCTGCTCAATTTGTTGAATGTGATTGGCACGGTTGCTCTCGATGGAATCTGGCAACCGCTGTGAATGGAGTGAACAGGCTGATAGCGCATGATTTTATCGGGTATCGTCGCAGGTCTTGGATCACGGGTATCGGATAGAATGGCGTGAGACGTGGGTTCACAGGATTGGGACATCTGGCTCGACCAAGTCTCTCTCCCCCGCTAAAAGTAAGTCTGTGAATTTTCATACCGAATGTATACAGGAAGAGTAGGAGAAGTAACGGTGAAGAAAACAATTGAGGGGTGCACACAGCACA